GTAAGACTCTCGACTCTCAACGTGGCCCTTAACAATAGTTTGTGACCTAAAGAGCTAAGTTGTTGGCAGATAAATGATAGGACCTCAGTTAACAAACTAAAACAATAAATTGAAACTGAATTGAAATTGAAACCACGAATCTGTAAATAGGATAATATATTGTATATCGTCTCATCAAAAAGAGATTGGTTGGATTAGGGGCATGTGTATAGGTCTAGCTAGATGGGACCAAGTTAACAAATAATAAAAATAATTCAAAAGAGACATATTAGGAATTTATATTTTGGATATTAAATTTCATTCTTAATATTTTCTATCGTCTCAATCAAAAGTGAATGAAATATGTGAATATATATATATATATGATATGGAAAAAATACATCATTATCACATATTTTAGCTTTAATTTTTTATTATATATACATGTATATACAGTAATTACAAATAATTGGTGTGATTTATCAAAGCGTAAATATATAACATGAATATATTCTATACAGTGCATCATTCAGACGTTCCGTTAATAGCCTACTCCCAATTCTACAATGCTCGAAGTAATAGCTTTCCTCATAACCTCTATGGTGTAAAGTAAAACCCAAGTACTAACGATTCGAACCGATAAAAACAATATTATATTCACAAATATATTCCAAGGATTCCAGGCTTAGACAATATCACCACTTTCCAACAATTATTAACGGGATAGATGGGCCATTTTTGACCAATCATACTTTATTCTCAGAAATGGGAATTTTTCGCCAAACCAATCAGTAATAGTAACTTCTGAAGATTATTTAAATATAAATTCAACCCCCATAATGGCGCAGATGCCCCTTTAATGTAACTATAACAAATATATACACTGAAAATATGGCAACTCAATTAGAATATCTACATTATATACAACCTACTGAAGACACAATTCCAAACGTTTGAAATATGTTGTTAAAATGTTACGTTTTGTGAAAGAAACTTAATTGCAAAATAATTTGATGAAAAGTGGTAATTTATCAGAATTTTTTTTAAAGTTCAATAACATTATGAACAGTTTGGAATGTAGTAGAGGTGTCAGGACAGTCAGTACTAAATATTAAAACAGAGGATTTGATATGTGAAGGAGATATTAATCTGTTTCGTGCATCAAAACATTGAATTTGTTCTCTAGATTTTGGCGTATACTTTACATTATGAATACGTTACATTGTATACAGCTTACATCATACAGAGTTGGCTCAACAAAATATTTCGTTCAAATATGTGACTAACGATGCATGGAGTTGTTTACCATATCATCTATAATATATACAATAATTAAATTTAATTAATAAGATTTCTTACTGCTCAGCTTAGCTAGAGCAGCAAATATTTTTATTTATTCCTGTCAAACTATTTATTAGCTGCTCATTATAATATTGTCTGTGTTGCGGAATGTTTATCCAACATCCGACCTCGTAAACATCCAAGAGAAACGGATTCCTCAGTTTACGTTTTGTCTACAAGCCATTCTATTTTCCAATTACCTCTTTATATTTATTTTCAAATTACAGTTCATCGAATAACATAAACACTTCCGTACAAGCAAGACCATTCCATTGATCAAAATCTCGTTCAAAACATGGCAAAATCGAACGTAAAATTTTTCTAATGACGAGAATATGGGATTGTTTAAGCAACGGTTAGATGTGAATAAACATCGTACCGTTGCTAAAGGAACATGATGGTAACCATACGCAAAAAGTTGCCAAGATAAAAAAAAGTTTGATATCATTCAGTGATCTGCTGGTATAAAATATTGATTGGCAGTATTTGAGGCAATATCTGTCCAGTAAGAGGCTTTGCTTTTACTATAAATCTGCGATCAAATCCAGCATTCGACAGTGTATCAACAAGTCTCTATAAAGTTAGAATCATGAATAACCTTTTATGCTCCGTACTGTTGATATCCGCAACAACATTAATTCTCATTGATGCCCGTAAGTATTCATTCTCATTTTCTTAGGTGGTAAATGTTTTTGAGGCTTTCTCCTTTAAAAGTTTTCTAGATCTAGATGAAATGTATATCAGCTTTTTATTGATTGACGAGTCTGAGTTCGAAGTACATTATTACATTCTAAATACGATGCCTAAACACATCCTCATCTATTTGAGTTTTAAAGGTTATTCGACATGTACTATGTGTATGATATTACTTTATTCGAAGGTGACATTTCCTTCTTCCTGTTAACAATCCACCTATTTGAGATACAATTTAAAATCCACCCAAAGGTGACAATCTAAGAGCAATCCTCCATATTGAATAAGGTTATAGTTACATTCATTTTGTTTGTTTTTTGGAGACCACCATTTAATTTTTGTCAGACGTCGGAAACAGTTAAGACATGTGACGGTAATTTGAAATAATGCCTAATGAAGCCACAAATATCCCCGGGACAATAACGAAAATTAAAAAACTTACAACCCAATATTTATATTTCAGAATGCACTTACACATATACAAATGATAAATACATAAGTCCGAGTTCCTTTGAACCTTCAGTCGTGGGCCTGGACCAGAGTGAATGTGATCAACGGTGCAATAACAACGCCCGATGTACAGGTGCATTTTTCACCCCACACCCAATCAATAGATGTTATCTATATGAAGCTCCACTCATTTCCTTATTTCAAGATTTAGATCAGAGCCAATGTGAAGAAACGTGTACACAGATGAATCAATGTGTTATGTGGAGTTTTGGCGGAAATTATAACCAATGTTATATTTTTAACGTTACCCTGGCTAACTTACCTAGCATTTTCAATGTATTAGACTTTGACGGAGATGTCATAGCAGACAAAGTCTGTACATAAATAAAACATGTTTATTATCATAAATGTTTGTTATTACTTGAAGTACAAAATACTTTCTGATATTTGAGTCTCAAAGTTCACGGTTGAGTTATTGTCATAAAATATCCATTGCCAAGCAGCTATTTTAGTTCTCAGAAGACGAATGAAAAGAATTTCTTCTTTAATCTTTACGCCTGATCAGAATATTCATATTTATTTGAAATGTCATGCGAATCAATGAGTTGGCAAGTACGACTACACCAATGAATGAGGTCCCCTTCCGTTTCGCCATTACCTTAAAAATCCCACCTGAAAACATTGAAAATTGCTGAAAGTTGATCGGAAGCGAAAGAATGCTATGAAATACCTTGTGAACATTAAGGAAACTTGGTAACCTTCTGTCAAGAGGGTTGATGCCAAACTCGAACTTTCAACAAAGGAAGATGATATATGTGTCACATCTTACTGGTAGAACTATTTTTTGCGTTTTTAAGGCAACCATGGAGCCGCGGTGTCTCAGTGAGTTAGACGCTTGCTCGCTAACCTGAAGGTCCAGGGTTCAATCCTGGTATAAGTCGAAATAATACCTTCGGATTTTTCAACCCGGTTTCCCTCTGGCAGTGATGCAGGTACGAGGGGCTGACATGGAAAAAGCGTCAAGCTGTTCGGGTGGGACAATAAACCGAGACCCCGTGTGCTACAGGCTGTGTACATTAAAGATCCCTCGACAGTTGGAAATCGAAAAAGAGCAGGCTAATGCAGCTGTCCTGGCAAAATTTCCCTCATTGCACCCTGCATGGCGTTGCCCGTCTTCATTAGCCCACACGATGCAGAAAAGTAGGACGTAAAACTCCATTCATTTCATTTCATTTCATTTTTAAGGCAACCAACTTGTTTAAAATTTGTTTTGGGACAATACTCGTATAAGTACGAAGTTCGTAATAATTTTACATTGTGTAAAACTGTAATCTGTAATCGTGGGCTATGTAAGGTTTTTTGCAAATTTTCCTGTGAAAAAAGTTACGAAGGAAACATTTTCGTGCTCTTCGTACACTTATTATATATGATGATAATCCCATCACAAAATGGCCACTGCCCACACGACAAGATCATGATATGAATATTATTTATAATATACCTACCTACCTAAGTCTACCTAAGTGTTTCCAAACGCAGGAGATCAGCTTTCTCTTCTATATTTGGCTCGTTTTCATCATCACTAATTTCATGTTTGTTACTTCCGGTATTACTATATGTATAATTAGTGTTAAAGTCATATATCAGGGGGGTGGTTTTTCCAATATCTGTTCTTAGCTGAAACAACACCGTCAGGTAGGCTATTCCACACTTCAGCTACTCTGTTGGTAAAAGTAATATTTCCTGATGTCAAATCTACTTCTGTTTTTAACTAGTTTGAGCGAATTTCCTCTTGTTGTTGAACTGGTATTACGTGTGAAAAGACCATCAGTTACCCTTCGATCGTATACTTCAGTAACTATTTTATATGTTTCTATCATATCGCTTCTGGTTCTTCTAAATTTTAATGTTGGTAATTTCAGTGTTTTTAGCCGATCTTCGTATGATAGGTCTTTTAGGTTTGGTAACATTTTTGTAGCTCTACTTGGACGTTTTCTATTATCTCAATATCCTTCTTACGGTAGGGGTTCCACACGCTGCTAGCATATTCCAAGTGTGGACGGGCTAATGCTTTAAAAAGTAGGCTGAAGGTTTTATAATCTAGGTACTAGTTCTTCTTATAATTCCAACTATTTGGTTTGCTTTATTGACTTGAGTCTGTATGTGTTTATCAAATCTCAGTTTTGAATCTATAGTCACTCCTACATCTTTCTCGGATTCGACTGTTTGAAGGATAATTTCGGCACCATCGTATGTTGACATTTTATATCGTCCATTTTGTGCAGAGATTGGCTTTGATGGTATTGATAGAACCTTACACTTATCAGGGTGGAAACGCAGCAACCATTTTTCACTCCAATTGAACAGTCCGTTAATGTCGTTCTGGACTATGTTAATATCGTTTTCGTCTTGGATGGTTCTGTATAATTTGGTGTCATCAGCAAACATCAGATTCGGCCCAGGACGGTAGATCGTTAATGAATATTACAAATAGTATAGGTCCAAGCACTGATCCCTGCAGAATACCACTGGTCACATTAAGTTTCCATTAATTTGAACTCTTTGCTGGCGGTCACTAATATATAGAACAATAATAATAATAACCAATATATAATACGACTGCAGACTAAGGACTATTTATATCGTTTAAGAAGTATGCCTGGTTTATGCCCTTGTTTGGGTTTAAAAGCTAACACTCGACTAGGAAATCGAAAATAAGTCACACTCTCAACTCGAATTTTATTTTCTTCACCACATTTCAAGGGTGTACAGAGAAGACAACTTCTTACATAAAGAGTTCCAAAAAAGGGAGATAATTCATGTCAAGAGTTAACACTTTACAGACCGCATTTAGTCTATTTCACAACACACTCCCCCCTATTGACTTAGGAGTCAATACCTAAATATGAAAATGGAAATCAAAAGATGGATTCGAGCTCGACTCAATGGATAAAAGGTATGAGTGCACAATAAACTATTCATAATCTACTGTCTGAACTCTAAACTCGTTACAATACAAAGCAATAACATTGAAATATACAAAATTAAAATACACATTCAGTCTATGGACACAAATATTAATTACAGTCCTGTACTAACTCAACAGGAAACAACTTTTGGATTGGACGGTTCATCTCTATCATTTTACCAAGTTATTAGGAACGCGAATAACTGCTGAACGAACATTATTGTCTCTTCCTACTAAAGTTCGCACTACACGAGCCATACTCCAGTTCATTCGCGGAATCTTGTCTTCGTACACAAGAACTACATCATCATTGCTTATAATAGGACCTTGCTTACTACGATTTCGATGATGCTCACGAAGTTCAGTTAAATACTCGTGTCTCCAACGATTCCAAAAATGTTCTAACACAGTACTCAGATATTTCTTTCGTTTAATATGAACTTGATCACTATCAGTATGAGGAATATCAATAATCAAATTAGGCTCAGAAATAATTCTACGTCCTATCACAAGATGGGATGGAGTTAACGGATTAACACATTCCTCACTAACATATGTAAGAGGTCTAGAATTCACGACTCCTTCAATTTGAATTAACACAGTCAGTAATTCCTCATAATTTAATCTTTTTTAGGCATCTTTTCACTGAACGCACCATGCGCTCGAAGAAACCTCCCCACCAGGGAGAACGCTCAACGTTATAAGACCACTTTATGTTTTTAGAATTGGTAAAGGCACGCAACTCTTCGCTTTTGAAATTCTTGCCATTGTCTGAAATAACAAACGAAGGAATACCACGTCTACCCATGAAACGCTGTAAACTTCTAATAAAAGAAGTAGAACTTGCATCTGGAACTAAGTCTAAATGTATCGCACGGCTGTTAGCACACGTGTATAAAGCTATAAACACTTTGTTCATGTCTTCAGATTTTGAATATATGTCTTTTACAAAAAGGGGACCGGCATAGTCTACACCTATGTTGGAAAATGCAATATCATCCGAAAGTCTAAAGTTTGGAAGAGGAGGATCTTTTGGAACACCATAAGATTTTCCTTCTAGTTTTCTACATAGTACACACTTCTGAATTATCTGTCGCACAACTTGGCGTCCTCTACAAATCCAATTTTTGGAACGAAGCTGGACTAATGTTTCTTGAACACCATTATGGAATACATCGTTATGACACTTCTGAACAACTAATTTTGTAAAGTCATGATTTTCAGGCAGGAACACTGGAAACTTAGTGTCATAAGCTAAGCTCGAATTCTGGATACGACCATTACAGCGTAGGATATTGTCTTTATCTTCTTGAAGATTCAGAGATAATTTTCGTTGTTTGAATTTACTATCATTTGGAATTTGTCATTGAATGTCTCTTATCCAAACACATTCAGCAAAATTTAACTCTTCTTTGGTTAGGGCAGTCCTTTTAACGTCAGTCTTGTCTATATGAGCTTTAATATTACTAATAAATCTTAACACATAAGTTGTCACTCTTATTAATTTATCTATTGAACTATACTTAGAAACAGATATTAATTTTTCAATATTATGTCTGATGTCAATACTAGCAAGACAGGAAGTTGTCTTAGTCTCAGACTCTATCTCAACACTCTTAGGGACAGGCTCTTTAAAATGTAAATCTAATTCTTGGGGATGAGTCAAAAATAGAGGTCCATGCCACCAAATATAATTGTCAGCAAGAGCCTTAGCTTTACTGCCTCTTGAACAAATGTCAGCAGGATTTTCTTTAGTATTGCAGTAAAACCAATTGTCTACAGAAGTCAACTTTCTAATTTCTATTACTCTATTTTGAACAAATTGCTTAAACTCTTTATGAACATTCTTAATCCAACTTAAAGCTACACTAGAATCAGACCAGAAATAAACTGATGTTATATCAAACATATCATTTAAACAATCTACTACACTTTTAGCTAAACAAGCAGATACTAAACACCCTAAAAGTTCTAGTCTAGGAATTGTAGTTTTACTAAGGGGAACTACTCTAGTTTTAGATGCAATAAGATTACTATGAATAAGACCTGAAGGATGTTGACATCTTAAATATACACATGACCCATAAGCTTTTTCTGATGAATCTGAGAATACATGAAGTTGAACTTCAGCATCACTAAGATTGTCACATACACATCTTGGAAAGGAAATCTGATCTACTTCACTCAAACTATTTAAAAGTTCATTCCAATAGTCACAAAACTTGTCATCAACTGGATCATCCCAATCTAGACCTTTCTTACACATTGACTGAAAACCAATCTTGAACAAAACAACTATTGGAGCTATCATACCAACTGGATCATAAAACTTAGCAGTAGTACTCAATATACTTCTCTTGGATATCACAATAAGTTCTGCATTAGACAATACTTTATCAAACTGAAACTGAAACATATCTAATTGACAGTCCCATTTTTGGCCTTGAACAATCAAAACCAGTGTCTTGTAGGAACATACTATAGCCACGATCTTCTTCAGTTATACTAGGAGCTGGAATATTAGTCTCCTCACCTTCAGAAAAAATGTTACTATTTTCAATCAAACTCATTAGTCCTGCAGAGTTGCTCATCCACTTTCTCATGTTAAAACCACCATCAATTAATCTCTCTTAAACTTTTCTACACAAATCAAACGTAGACTGAACATTATTTGATCCTGATGCGAAGTCATCAACATACAAAGACTTTAAAAGGCTTTTTACAAAGTTGGAATCATCTGGATATTTAGAATATAAATGGTGCCGAATGGTAGCATTTAGTATAAAAGGACTCGACGTAACACCAAATACCACACGTTTAAACCTCATAGTCTGGATAACTCGATCTTCACAAAAAGGATTATCTACCCATAAAAATCTATGATAGTCTCTGTGTTCTGGAGCTATGGAAATATTTAGGAAAGTTTTCTGTATATCTCCTATAACAGCAATAGAGTTCATTCTAAACCGAATCAAAATGTCAAATATAAGTGGATTAAAGGAAGGACCTGCATATAAACAGTCGTTCAAGCTAGGCCCACTTTTCTTGGCAGAAGCATCGTAAACTAAACGTAACTTGGTAGTTTCTTTGTCTAATCGTAAGACTTCTCTGTGTGGAAGGTAGTGAATTTGTCCTGGAACACCGATTTCAAGTGGTTCCACCATTTCTATTATGTCTTCACTCATTTGTTCTTGTATAATTCTATTGTATTCTTCCAGGATTTCTGGTTTACTTTTTAGTCGACGTAATAATGAACCAAGACGTCGATGGGACTCTGAGTACCCATCTGGTAATACTGGATGACCTTCTTTAAATGGGAGCTTAACTTCATACTTCTGAGTACATTCACTAAACTTCACTTCTTCAATAAAGTCTGCATACACAGAAGATTCATTTTCTTTGATTCCTATAGTCTCTAAATCCCAGAATTTATGAACTTCATCTTTTAATGGAATTTCTGGACATGATTCTTTAACTGAGTTGATATGAAGTACATGGGTTGAAACAAGATTTACTGAACTCTCTTTATTCAAGGAATAATCAACAACAGGACCTGAGACTATCCACCCTAGTCTGGACAATAATGCAACTGGACCACTAGACTCCCCCCTTCTAATACAACCATTAAAGAAATTCCAATAATAGTCTGCACCTATAAGGATATCAACATCATAATCTTTAACGTCCGAAGGATTGGCTAACTGTATATTCTGTAAATGAGGGTATCTGTTAACAGCAACCTGGATACTCTGGTCACTCACTGGACTACAAATAGAAGGAACACAAAAGGCTTTAACATATATCTGCATACCATCCAAACAGGTAATGGAAAACTGAACTACATCACAAGTTCTCAACCTTGGAGTGTCATCACCAAAAGTCTTAATCAATAAGGTTTCTTGACCAATAGAATTTAATCCCAACTTATTTCTATTCTTCTCAGTTATATAAGTCCTTTGACTGCAATTATCAAACAAAATATTTGACCTCAAACTCTGACTAGACTCAGTAGGATTGCTAACATAAGCGACAGCTGTTTGAAGTAGAACTGAAGTAGAACTATTTACACACATAGTTGAACTGGAACTAGAATTGGTTGTGGGTTTCGGACTACTATTTCTGGTCACTGATTTGGAATTGGTATTATGTTGTCTGTTTGCATCACATATAGCCTTATTATGCCTTGCACCACAATTATAACTCTAGTCAACTCGACAATCTCTCATTACGTGACCGGATCTAAGGCAAATAAAACATTTAGCCTTTTGACGTAGAATTCCTTTTCTAGCAGATTTGTCTGTCACAACTGTACATTCAGCCGATTGATGTTTCTGTCCACAAAATACACAATAAATAGTTCTACTATTTGAATTGTAAGTGTCCTTACTGGCACTGGAATGTAGGGTTGATGCAGTTGTTGGTTGTGGTTTATATCTAAAATCTGGTTTTCTTGAATAACTTGGGCGGCTGGAAGTTGAACTAGAACTGGACGCAGGATTCATTAGGTTGATTCTTTCTCTAGCTTCCAATTCATCTTTTAACAAAGCCAACAACTCATCAATACTCCACTTATCTTTATCACACTTTCTACTAATAATCAATCTAAACTCTTCAGGAACTTTCTTCAAAATTATAGGAACCAATATTGAACCATAACTGTTTGAATCTACACCTAGAGAACCAAGACTCCTTATACTAACTTCAATTGAATCAAAAAGAGATCGAATACGTTTAACATCATTAGAATTAGAAACTGGAGACAAATCAATCAAAGCGTCCATGTAACTAGAAATCATAACCTGTTTATTACCAAAAGGTTCAAGTAATAATTCAACAGCTGAGTCATAGTTCTGTTCAGTCAAAGATAGACCTGCTATACACAATGAGGCTGCACCCTCTAAAAGTCCCTTCAAATAATTAAACTTGTCAACCTTGGAAATACTGTCATTACTATTCACTGCAGCATCAAAACTGTCCCAAAATGATTGCCATGATTTAGGATCACCATTATAAGAAGTCAATGTCAATTTAGGAAGCTTAGCAGTCAATTTAGGATTATTTGGTCTAGGTATAATGTCTATAGCAGGAGCAGGTAAACTATTTGAATGTTCTACCGTAGGCACAATCTGTGGAGGTTTCGGATTAAGACACGACTCAATTCTAAAAATAGTTCTGTTTATAAGTTCACAAAATTCACTTGACTCAGAAATGTCATGCATGATTTCTTCTTCACTTTCAATGAATTCAAGGATCTTCTCATCATGATTTCTAAGGACTGATTTCTTCTCACTCAATGTTGCTTTGAAACCTTCTAAAATCTCTATTTCTCTCGATGAATTTGAAAATTCATCAATTGAATTGTCAGATGATTGTATTGTTCTCTTTACAAATGCCCTGTGGCCACCACGAACTCTTCTCACTTTTGATAAACTAAGCACGCTTTGACCAAGTTCACTCGTTATCACTGAACCGGCAGAATTTTCACTGGATCCCGCTTCTTTGTCTTTAGCACTCATTTTGGAAAGGTAATATTCTTTACTCACAAATGAATCAGATTCACTAGGAATCCGTCTCGTCGGACCAAATGTTTGGGTTTAAAAGCTAACACTCGACTAGGAAATCGAAAATAAGTCACACTCTCAACTCGAATTTTATTTTCTTCACCACATTTCAAGGGTGTACAGAGAAGCCAACTTCTTACATAAAGAGTTCCAAAAAAAGGGAGATAATTCATGTCAAGAGTTAACACTTTACAGACCGCATTTAGTCTATTTCACAACAGCCCTCTTAGTCTGAAACTATACTTTTACAAGAAGTATAGAACGCTACCTTTATGTGTAATGAAACATTGTGTTCAATGATAAATAGAAGTCTATATCTATAACAACTGTTGTTTCTTATTGTGCTGTGATATTTCTAAATGTCTTACAAGGTTTATGAAATGGTTGTTTTATCCCACACATATGGGTTTCGGCTAGGGTAACTGCACTTTTATAATTTTGGGGTACAGGAATCTATGTAAGTGAACCCTTGACTTTTCGCTTGACATTGATCTATCAAATCCTCTCATCTCTCTTACTACAGTTCGAATTGGAAGGAACAGAAACTCCACTGTTCATCGACTCTCAAGGATGCGTTTTTTTCATAGTTTGTATCCTCCAGAGCTTTAACGAACTTGGTGGCAGAATAAATGGAACTGTAAATTGAAAATGAATTGGTATTGAATATTCATGAATCTCTATTTCAGATATTATATCGTATTTTTTGTAGTAATTTAATATCGTCTCATAAAAAAGGTCAAGTTAAAGTATGGGACCAGTGTTATTTACCATACCATGTATAATACATGTATATACAGTTAAGTCACTACGGTACCTTATCAGCCTCGTTTAGACCCGAACATCTAGAAGAGGTTAGATTGTCTCTAATTGTAAATTGAATTTCTATTTCGTATATATTATATTTCAATTTATTCTCAAAATTATCTCTCGTCAATAAAAAGTGTAGCTGAAATATGTGACTAATGATATATTAAGTTGTTTAGCATACCATCTATAATATATACAGTTATTAATTTTAATTAATGGGATTTTTACATTCAAAGCAATCCATAGAAATAGATGATATCCTTTCTCGTTATACTGTTGCCAGCTTGAAGCAATATAAAACAAAATATTTATTTTTGGTGCCAATAACCACCCTAACCTTCAAAAATCACAAAGCACAGGCACAGGCATGTGAGCGTAACCTCTAGTGATAGAGCAATGTTTGTGAAGTTAGTTTAAAAGAATGATATAGAATATTTGAAATGCAAATCCATTATCTTCCGAATCTGAAATATTTAAGAAGAATACTGGTTCCAACAGGAACATTAATAACCATGGAAATCATAATAAACATTTTTACTGGTGAAACTGAGGAATTGTCCTATATTAAATGAAAAGGAAAATGCGTATTTCATATAAAAAAATATATATAATTTATTAAGTGAAAATAGTATACATATATGATATTTTTGAGAGGAAACTCTTCAATTGCAAGTTATCATAAATAAGAAATATTAATTAAAGGAAATGTACTAAACCTATGGAAGGGGGATGGGGGGTAATCTACCACGGACTAAGATATCATTTAGATTTTTTTACGGGTATAGGCGATAACTAAATCATTTGTAAAGACTATTGGAAATTTTTCCTGCAATTCTTTGTAAAGACGGATAATTATTCGGGGAACTTGGCCAGCTGTGTTGTTGTATTGAATAACAAAAGGTATAATTTGGAAATCAACTTGGATGTTCATTCCTAAAGGATGCATGGTTTGTAATTTGTTTATCCAATAATTTTCGCGAATGAGTCGAATTTTCTTTGTATCAATGCCAGGTTGTTCGTATATTTGTTCAATGGGAATGATTTTCAAGTCTGTTAATTGGTGATCGGGTTGATTGAAGTGTTTTGAAACGGTTTTATTAATTTTTTAAGTTGATGTCATTTACTTGAAATATGGAATCTGTACGTCTATTTTGGAAAGAATTTGTTGGTAAAATGAAGGGACAGGTTTGACAGCGAGGGTTGTTACAAGGATAAACTGAAGAATTTGGTATTGGTAAAAGAATCGAATTATTTTTAGCAGAGATTTCAGCAACTGTTGAGCTTTTAATACCTCTCAAGAACCTTCTAGAATATCCACGTTCGCGCAATTTTTGGAAAACAATTGAACAAGCCTCCTCGAAGTCCTTCTTGCGCGTACAAATTCGGTGAAATCTCAAGATCTGCGACTTTATAATGCCAGAAAAGGTATGTTTAGGATGAAAAGATGATTTGAATAAAAGTTGGTGAGTATCAGTGGGCTTAAAAAAAACTTTAATATCTAATTGATTGGTTTCATGAAAATTGATATCTTTAAAAACTGTGGTGTCTAGAAAATCAATCTGTTTGTCCCTAATATTAGAAGTTAATTTTACAGAAGGGTGGTGGCTATTGAGAGTATCAAAATATTCCCAAAATTCATCTATTGTATGAGTCCAAATTAAGGAAATATCATCAAGAAATCTTACATAAAAAATTGGTAGTTTGGGACAGAGGAGTGAAACTTCTCTTTCCCATTCTGCCATGAAAATGTTTGCATAAGAGGGCGCAAAGCGTTTTCCAATGGCAGTTCCTGAAGCCTGAAGATAAATATTTTCATTGAAAGTAAAGTCATTACGTTTTAAACAAATTTCCAAAAGTACAAGAATTTCTTTATCTGGTCTATCAGGATCGGGCTTTCGCTCGAATGCCTGCTTTACAGCGTGTAATCCAGAATCATTGTCAATTTTAGTATACATGCTTTGAACGTCTAAAGAGACTAAAAGCGCATTTTCTGGGATCACGAGTTTCTTTACCTTTTCCACAAAGTCTTTGATATAGGCAGGATGTTTTGAGGCAAGAGGCAGTAAAAAATGATCAATGTATTCTGATACCCTGTACGATTCGCTTCTACAATCGGAAATAATTGGGCGACCTTTTGGGATTTTATTTGGGGAGAACCACTCAGTTTCAGGATTTTTGTGTATTTTTGGGAGGGTATAAAGATGTCTCTGACGTGGTTCTTTTTCTGGCTTTAAATAATCAAATTGTTTTTGCTTAATGTAGTCTTTCTGAAGTAAATTTTTCAAAATATTTGTTATTAATTTAGAAGTTTCTTTGTAGATCGGATCCTGCAAACGAGTGTAATGTTCAGGATTGCTTAATTGAGATTCGGCTTGTTTAACATAATCCTGCCTATTTAAGATCACACAACAACTGCCCTTGTCGCTTTTCTTGATAACAATATTCTTGTCATGTTTTAGAGTGTTCAAAGCAGTACGTTCCGCGTGCGAAAGGTTGTCTTTCTCGTTTACTATAGGCAAAGATATTTCATCATTCATTTCCTGAAAGGTATCCAAAATGCTTTTGTTTATACAACTATCCACGGGTGTGAATTTCGATTTTTCAACAAACTTGATGATCGGACCACGAGAAGGCGTGTTTCTGTAGAAATAGTTTAACCTTAAATTTCTCTGGAATCTCTTTGTGGCTTCAATTAGTGGAGTGTGTGACAAAGGTTTCTTGGTAGGTATAAATTTAAGCCCTTTATCTAAAACTTTTTGTTTACTTGGAGAAAGAACTCTAGAGCTTAAATTAACAACTGTTTTTCCAAGCTGAAGACAAACATTGGGACCCCCCGCTCCTAGTTTAAAGGTGCTGTGGAATCTGTGACGAAGTTCATCCAATGGTCGTAGATGGCTTTGGCAGTCATTGGAGTCCAATGAATGTCGTCTCCTCTGACTTTGATGATAGTATCTGCTGCTGGAAAAATGGTTGTATTTGGTGGACGACTGTTGTTTATCAAGGCATTGAATTTCTCTAAATTTTTACTGTCGACTTTATTCTTCAGTTGGAAAATATGAGCAGTGGGTATATGGGTGATGAAGATACGGGAATTAGGAAACACGGAAGAAGCTAAAGAAACAAGATTGGTCATTTTTTTGAAGATAATATCTGCCGCTTCACCACTATTGTTGAGGCCCACATGAAAAATAATGTTGTCAGGATCAATGCTATTCGATGCTGGATTATTCAAGAGGTATCGAAGTCAAGATCATACTATTTTACGCTTACATTAAAAGAGGTTTTAAATATCTTTTCACCAAATAGCAGCAGAGAGTTAAGACTCCTTTCGTCCGCAATGTGCAGGCGTATACGCACCCGTTAGCGTTAACGCGATCTATAGTACCAACTACATATATTCGTATTTAACCATACGGAAAGCCCTAATACAGCCAATGACTGCCGGGAAATACTATTTCTAGAATACACTGACGTCATTCTTGATACTCTTATATCCGGTTTGGTAAACTATTTTTTTGTATATTGTATCATTCAGTACGCCAACTGTTGGTATAAAATATTGATTGACATTAACCAACATAGCAAGCAACATCTATCAAGTTGGGGTGGGGGAATCTAAATCTAACATTCGACAGTATATCAACGAGCCTACTTATTGCGTTACAATACGTGAGAGCCAAGAACCACGAATAACTTCTTATGTTAACACTGCTTTAGGGCAACCATACGCTAAAAAGTTGCCTGATATAAAAAGTTGTATGTTTGATATCATTCAATGAACTGCTGGTATGAAATATTGATTAACAGTAATTAAGACAACAATCAACCACTAGGAGGCTCTGCTTTTATTATAAATTTCTCGATCACATCGAGCATTCCACATCGTATCAACGAGTCAAATTATTGCTAACGTTGAATAACCATGAATAACTTCTTATGTTCCATACTGCTGTTCTCCGTATCAGTAATAATTCGTATTGATGCCCGTAAGTATTCATCCTTAAATGTTATTTGTCCTTTAAATCTTAAGTCAAGTTTTCAAGATCTGGATGAAACTTATATCAGCTTTTTACCGATAGACGATACTGAGACTGAGTTCGAAGCACATTATCAAATTTTAAAGCCTGGGTTACTAATACAACGCCTAAAAACATCCTCAGCTATCTTTGAGCATTAATCCAAAAAAAGATCATTCCAAAAGGAGACAATTTCATAGCAATTAACCTTATTGAATAAGGTTTTAGTATCACACGGTTTTCCTATGATGACGTTATTAAGGGTTCGGTGAGTTCTCTGAAATATCGCGTTATGGCGTTAAGAAACAGTTGAATTAAAAAAACAAATTAAAAGAAAACTATAGTACGGGAAAAGGTAAACTGTAATAATTTATGCTTGATTCAGAATAAACAAATCAAGTACTATCGACCCGAACCGTAAAACGAGACTCGATATCCAAAACAACATACAAGTATTGGCAAAACAAAACAACTTAAAATATTTGTATCAAAATGATAATGAACCATACTCTAGCTATTGGTTATAATACTCACCATAGTGAAATGGGTTGAGGAACGTTGCGTAGTTACAGTGCCAACTGTGGAACTGCTGTTGTAACTGTGAAGGTTCATTTATCAGAATCACATTCATTTGTCTTTCAAGCTTAACAATATCTGAATTTGGGACCAAGTCCAAGAAATAGTAAATATGGTTCGCTAAACTTTCGTGGGCACTGATTGCATCGATTGCACTATTAAAATCAGACGTCGTATACAGTTAAGCATACAATGTATCTATAATTACAGGAGCCATAGACATCTGACGGAAATTGATGTATAATGAAGCCACAAACATATCCCTGGTACACATAAAAAAATCAAAAAAGGACGAATTTATCTTTCATTATGTAATTTTTTTTCAGAATGTGATTACACATATACAAATGATAGATACATAAGTCCGAGTTCCTTTGAGCCGTCAATCGGAGACCTGGACCAGAGTGAATGTGATCAACGGTGTAATAACAACTCCCGATGTACCATTGCATTACTTACTCCGTCTCCATTTAATAGATGTTATCTATATGAAGCACCACTCATTTTCATATCTCAAGATACAGATCTGACACAATGTGCAGAAACATGTACCTCGATGAATCAATGTGTATTGTTGAATCATTGGGGAAGAAATGTTCAAAGATGTTATATTTATAACGATACCCTCGACAACTTTCCTTCTGGTTATTATTTCAATGTCCGTGCTGGAGATACCATAGCAGAAAAAGTATGTCCTTAAATAAAAAAATTTTCTTACTATACACATTTGTTATTACTTTTGTTTCATCAAAATTAGAAATCTGCAGTGCGAACATGTCTTCAAGGCAAATTACGCTTTTCTAATGAGTCAACAATAATGGTACAGATATCTGTCATTCCTTCCGTTTGGTATTGAGTAAGAACAAATTCGTTTTCGTGTTTATGAACCAGCCTACCAAGAACGTTCCATTAGCGCTCTGAAACATATATATCAAGGTAACGAATGGCAGCCATAATTTGTCGGAACTATGCCATCATTGTAACATGATCACGTGATTCTAGTAGTATTAATTTAGGGGTTGGTCCTAAGGGACTAGGAACAAAAACAATGAAAACCAAAACTTCGAAAGAAATAAATTCAAACTGATAATGTAATGTGTCATTGGTGAACCGTCGGTCATCTTATAATATTGAATGCACAACTAAGTGACAATTTTATCTCTCAAAGACTTTAAGTTAATGGACTATACTTAGATCGCAATATCACTATAACTTGACAATTCGCTTCTTAACATCGGAAGTAAAGAGTTTCTTCTCAATAAGATACAAATAAATCAAACATGTGCTAGATTATACATCTGGTCAATCTATATAAATATATTAACACACTTGCAACAGGATCTGTCAAATGTTTACAGCTTTTCTGACAATGTCTCTGTTTGGCTGTATTCGCTAACGTACAATGCATTAAAATCGCTATCTTAACAAACTTCCATGATACGAGATTAAAAAAGTGACTATTGCAGTCAAAGTATAAATACGGCATTATAAACACCATTGTTTCTGTCCTGGAAAAATTTCATTATTTAAAAAGATATGGCGCCCAACTTTTTAAACCAATTAGTAATTTCATAAGATTCTCATTTCAAACCCAATAATCATTTAAAACTTAAGACACTTTCGTATCTGTAACTCATTTGGCGATTCCAGTAGCGTATTTAGGAAAGGGGCATTTGGACATGGTCTCTCCCTCGGGCCAGTGATGGGTTTGATTTTGAAGTGGCAATTAATTTCTCTAAATTCTCAAAATTAACCTCAGGCCATCTGAAATCCGTTGACTTCTGCTTAAAGCATAATGGCTATATATAGACAAACTCATGAATAAAAAATGTGTAAATGTGCTTGTATACAGATTGTTCACTTTGTACTTTGTACTAACTTGTTCCTTTTTTACTATTCCTGAAACATTATGGGAAGTATGTTTTGTCCTGCCTTAGACAAGATAGAATACGGCATAATGACATAATACGTTATGTTCAGTGAGACGTAACATTTTGCTCCACAATATCTGCAGCATCAATTATATACGTATATAATGCAAAAGGAACAGTTCGATTTAATATAGAGTTCTTCTGATGTTTCCTGAATCTGGTATCAAAGTTAAAGGGAAACAACCATTATATTACTCGGTTGTATAGTCAGTTCATTATGATTGTTATATTATGGCATGTTTTCCCTTCCATACAGTATAACTCAGAGTGATCTCCCTTCGTGCTGATTAATGAAGTGAAGATCAAGAAGAGAAACCACGTTTATTTTAAAATTGTTTCTTGTTATGCTTTCTTCCCATCGCTCAAACCCAAATACTATTTAAATGAAATGAAATGAATGGAGTTTTACATCCAACTTTTCTGCACCGTGTGGGCTAATGAGGGACATTTTGTCAGGACAGCGGCATTAGCCTGCTCTTTTTCGACTTCCAACTGTCGAGGGATCCTTAACAAACACAGCCTGTAGCACAAGGGGCATCAATTAGGCGCTTTTTCCATGTCAGCCCCTCTTATCTGCATCACAGACAGGGGGAAACAGAGATGAATAACCCGCAGGTATTATCTCGACCAATGCTGGGATTGAAACCTGGACCCTCAGGTTAGCGGGCAAGCATCTACTTGCTGAGCCACCGCGGCTCCCATTAAAGAAAGGAGTAGTATATCCATATAAGTGTTCTTATTAATTGATTAAATACAGTTTCGAAGTTTTTTAAAAACAATTTTTAGAGTGCTGTCGTGTATCAAGGTGGATATATGACCAGGCTAAGCTTACTAATTACGAGGTCACTAATTAATGTAATTGATCAACCAAGATATGATTGATTACCAGTGTCGGACGTTGACAAGCTACAGATGTTGAATGGTTGATTATATCTGATAAAAAATAACATTCTTTTTTGAGAAAAATATTTTACAAAAACACACTGTTAATAACAAGATTAATCTCTAGGCCGTAGTCAAACCGTCTCCCTCCAAATCCATATGTTACCCGTCAGCAGTTGGGAATTGTGGTGCCAGTGAGGGTAACCCCACACGTAACCGCCTTAATTTCTAACAAATTTTAAAAAGACGTTTTGCCCCAAAATATCTTTCTGAATGCACCGAATAAAATTTATTTTTCAAAACATTTCTGGAATGAGAACTTTCTTAGACGCTCCATCGGAGGCTCGCGCTTATACGTCCGGTATTTTAAATCTCAACAGTCAGTTGTCCTATTAAGTCAAACTGTACCCCAGTCGGTACAGGAGGTTGGTGCCGCCGCTAGAAGTTTGTACAAATTTTTGTAACAATGATGTTTTACGGGGCTATTAAAATTTAACTCTTCCTTATTTGAATTAAAAAAAAAAACTCTGGCTGAATTGACCCGATATCTCTTCTACATTTCCGTGTTTTTCTTATCTTTTATTCATTATCTATGAGGGTGAGATATGCATTATCTGACAAGACCATAGCCCTTTCAGTATTTATTACACAATATGGACCTGTAATTCATACAAATAGTTTGTTATTTAAGCTTTGTTTGGTCTCCATAGAAACTATTGATTACAATAGCGAACACAAAAAAAACCTTTAAGATCTATCTACTGTCAAACAGAGACCACGTGTGTTTTTGTGCGACATATTCAATGAGAATTACTCACCCAGACGCACAAAGTCATGTGATATACATAGGACAAAAAGACTGAAGTTCGAGACTCGAGATAGGAAATCAATTGATTAGAAGTAAATACTTTGTTCGTATGATGATAGTTTGAATGGATTAACCGGATTAATATATTATTATACCAAGGTATGGCGCGTGCTGTAAGTTATAATACATATTGATAAGTAACAAGGTAAGACAATTCTTCTTTTAATAAACAATATTTGACTTTATTTTTATCAACAAATCAGAATGATGTTTAGTATTTTGAATGTGCATACCTGTACTGCGTTCTATGTAGTAAAAGGTTAATTTCTGAATTAGCCGTGTCACATCAAAAGTTAACCGAAGGGAATACAAAACCATTCATAAAAGCAGTGTTAAAAGTGCACAACTGAATACAGGGCACAGGCTCGTTAGAAAAAACCTCAGTCAACAAGATCCATTGTGTAATATTTCCTACAAAACTCCTTTCGTTTTATTAATTTAAAAAAAACACGATTTCTTTGTATTTTTACCATGTGATTTATTTCACCATTTTTAACTTTATTGTTTGCGAAGCAGATTAAATTAAACATTGAGTTTCTTTCTGTATCGCTTTATGTATTGTACTATGTTAAAAATATTTAAAAAAAATATAAGAGTCAATATATTATAATGTACATGAACGCGGTGTACTGAATGACAGCACAGTCTTCGTTTAAAATAGTGTTACAGTATATTGAAGATTGATAGGGTTTACAGTAAAATACAAAAATGTTATGTTGACAAAGACAGACTAACACTAAGTATAAAACGCTTCAACACAATGTAGATGTGTCGTCATCAATTGAAATGTGTTGAAACGTTATATACTTTGTTATTAAAGAAGTGTGTTATTTATACCATAGACCATTATATGTTCCCTTGTGTTTTGTGTTAAATGTGCTCTCCGCTTCTAAAAGTCTCCAAATTTTATATCTTTTCATTATTTATATATATATATCTAATATCTAATATCCTTTTTCCCCACCATGTAATACACCATAATAATAATTATAATATAATCTTTATTGAAATCCAGTTACCAGAGGTAATCGTCCCTGGAATCTAATCCTATCTACACTATATATACAGAGAGAAATAACATGAATATGGTGAAAAGAGTTATTACAAATTTATAAAAGTGATACAAGTATGGATTTTATGATGAAAAATGAATTGATGCTATCAGTGTACCCAATATACATAAGAAATTAAGAAAACCCCTTTACACTCTCTTTAATTCTGCACTGCACCAGACACTCTATCTCGCCTAAATCGCACTTATAGTTTTGAAGATCCAGTAAAATTATAGCGTAAGACGTCTTATATTGTACTTGTATGCTTACTCTAATAGAACACTCAACTTCTATTCGGAATTATTTCACAATATCAATCTATTACGAACTGCATCTAATACCTTGACATGATTGTAATTGTTATCACGAAGGCAGAGATTTGATTGGATTGTACGTCAGCGAAAACAGACAATCAGAGCTCTCGACAGAAATAGTGTAAACAATATGGCATATTACATTCTTTCTGTCGAGGGCACTTATTTGTTGTATATGCTTACAATCAAATTGCTGCAATTACAAACTTCAGCAATACAAGAAAAGTGGCTATTGAAGGCAAGGTATAAGACGAAGTTCGTAGGTCTAATAGCTTGATATTGTGAAGATGACTCCGAACAGTATGTCACGATATCAAACACGTTTATGAACTTCAAGGCCAGGTCTCAATGATATGTATTATACATATTTATAAAGGAAAGACTACAAATAGGTAGATAAGTCATAATCGTATTTAGAAGTATTGTTAACAAAGCATTCCCTGTAATAGCTTTATTTTGATACTAGATTTACACTCAATTGACTCCAACTCACGTTCTCCATTGTTTAAAAGGGAGCAATCCCATTTGTTTCGACGGGTTAATATGTCAACTGTTTATCAATAGTTCCAGGATATCAGGATTGATTTGTTGAAATCAACTTCCCGATATGAAGCAATTTGATAAAGTGATCCACAGTCCCTTCTATTTAAGGC